CAGCCAAGGCTTTGGAGGCTCGGCAGTGCCACTCCCCCCTCCCTGTTGAGGCTTGCGGATCCAGCCCAAAGCCTGGCCCCAAAGTCCTTGCAATCAGAGGCAATCAGAGGCTTCAAGTTGCTCTCTGCTGCCAGGCCTAAGCCAGTGATCTCTTCTTCCTTGCCTGCTGCTGCCACTGGGTCCTAGCATGACACTTGCTCTGCGCTAGGGCAGTGTGCCGAGGCCCAGCAGCCAGTGGTTCACAGCCCGACGGTTGGGAACCAATGGTTTAAAGGAGTGGTTTGTAACCCGTGGTCTGCTGACCCCCTGGAGTCTGTGGAAGGGTATAGTATATCTGAGTAACCAATAAGCTTTTGTTTATCAGTTAATGCTATAGACCACATGTATTTCCCACCCCCTCTTGCCGGTAAATGTTTTAGCAGGCTGGTGAGTAGCCCAGATCAGTTCTTGGCTTGCACCAGGTCTGGGACCTACCCCTTCTGCAGCTCTGCATTGGTGCGCTTCCCCCTCCACCCCCTCTGCAGCCTCTGTCTGTGGGGAGCTCAGATGCCCCTGTGGACAGGAGCTTCTACCACCCTGTGCTGTTGCCTCTGTATCAGGCGGCAGACAGCCAGTCTGTGAGGGGAGCTGGTTTTTAAACTGGCTCCTCTCGCTGACCAGCTCCTGCCTCGTACCCCACGCTGCTGCCTCTGATATAGACGCAGCAGCACGGCGTGGCAGGGGACTCCTTGGGAGTGGGGCCAGAGTGCACTGGCTGCCTGCCCTGGGGAGTAAAGAATAGTTGAGTAACCGATAAGAATTCATGAAGTTAATCAACTATTTACTTAACCTATATTTAACATCCTTAGTCTGCGGACTAAGACTGAAAACTGACAACAGAATTCATCTATATTGGGGTGGGCAATAATTTTAGCTGGGGGAGCCACTGTGGAAGGGGTGGGGCCTTGGGTGGAAGGGGCGAGGCTAGGGCACTTCCATGTTTCTCCGCTCACAGACCCTGATTGGCCTGGGGGAGAGGGGGTCACACACAGTCTCTCGCTCCCTCCCTTGCCTTGCAAGGGGTACACAATGCTTAAAGTCAATCCTAGTGGTTGACTCTAAACGCTGCACTGCTGGTGGGGGGAGGAGACTTTGCACGCTCCCTTAACCCTAGGCATTGATTGGCTGGGGGCAGGGGAGTGGGAGGGTGTCTGCAGGCTGGATAAACCCACTTGGCGGGCCAGATCCAGCCCACGGAGGCCCTTTTGCCCCTGGTCTATTTTTTTAGATGATAGATTTCCAAAGGAATCTACTCCTCCATTCAAAATTTCCAAAGAGAAATTTCCACTACCAATTAACATTTTTAGGGGTCTGCAAAAGAGAAAAGGTGTAATGACCTCATAGCCCTGGAGCCTGGGAATTCTGTGCTATGCTTCTAAGAGCTGCAGCACAGAAACTCCACCTCAGTTGCTAGTTTGCCTTTGTAGTTACTATCCATTGGTTTCCATTCTATTTTCATGCAGTCCATTTTTTATCATTTGTACTTGGAACTGTCAAATTTAGTCTGAACATATGTTGGCTTTGGAAATTTTTGCTGCTAAAAATTAGTGGTCTTGCTTTAAGGTTGCAATCCCTTTTTAGGAGGTAGTTTCTCTTCTGTAATATTTAAAATAAGAATTGCCCTAAAATGTAATATAATTGATGTTGTTTTGTCCCTCTTATTAGTGGTCAGAGGTGTCTCTTACTACTATAAAAAGTTAAAACATTTTTGGGTATTGTCTCAATATATTAACTTAATGAATTTATACTGTTTAAAATGATTTTTAAACATTTTTTTTAGGACTTAATTGTCCAGTTGACAGATGATTCTGATCCTTTTTTCCTTTATAACCTTGTTATATCTGAGGAAGATTTTCAAAGGTTAGTTGTCAACTTATTGTGCTGTTTATGACATATTAACAATGATGATAAGGAATGGCTAGATATTATTTCATTTTTAAAAGTTCTGTTTGACTATCAAATAATAGAACTTGGCTCTTACAGCATTTTTCTGCCATAGATTGCCTAATGGTCTACAAAGGAAGACCTAATATCATTCCTCTCCATGTATAGATAGGAAAACTGAGGCATAGAGAGGTGAAGTGACTTGTCCAAAGTCATTCAGGACAATGATGGAATCCTGGTTTCCTAAATTTCAGTCCAGTGCCGTATCCACTTAGACCACACTACCCCCTATTTTTGTATCTGGGTGTTTCTGAACATTTTGCAAGGATTTCAGTTGGCATACTCTCATAAGCAAGGACTGCTTCAGTGAGCAAGTGTTCACAGAATTGGATCATTCAATGAAAGATGTATTTTGGATCATCACATTGTTGGGTCTCAATACAATTGTAATAATTTAAGGAAAAATACTTCAGTTTGAACATCTGAATGACAATCTCTGATCAATATGTAGTGGCAGATAAAAAGAAGAAATACAAATACATTTGGGGTTTTATTTCAGTAGTTACGATATATCAGTCATATCTGCTTCATTATACTAGGTTTGCACACTAGGGATGTTGAAGTTTAACCAGTAAGCATATGCCTTACTAACATGCTAACCAGTTAACCAGAGGGCTCCCCTCCAGTGCTTACCAGCTAACCAGTTAACCAGAGGGCTCCCCTCCATGGCGGCCCAGCCAGCAGGACTCTAGCCATGGCAGAGCCAAAGCAGCCCTCACCAGCTAAGGTGGGGTGGGCCAATGCCAGAGCAGTCCCCACCATCCACTTCCTGAGGTAGGGCCTACGCCGGGGCAGCCCCTCACTGTGCCTGTTTAACTATTTGGATAATTTTTACATCCCCAATATAGCTACAATAAAAGAAAGTTTCTGCCTCAGAGTTTGCATCGGTAAGGCCCTAATTGAGTACATCTACCCATGTAACCCTCTACAATATAGGGTGCTCACAGAAGATTTTAATTTGAAAGATACATATTCCCACATGATGATTTTGTTGAGTGAAAGCTAACTTGAAAAACATTTAAAAATTAAAACATGCTTCTTGTGCTTGTGATTAGCTACTTGATAAGGTTTATTTTATACTCTGGATTAACAATCAAAATGTTAGGCGTTAATTATTAACTAATTAAAAGTTTAAGATATTTATTTACTTAGAGCAAACAAAAATATTTGGTAGGAATGTAACATGTATTTATTTCCCCTCTTTCTTTGTGTAGTTTAAAATGCCAGCAGGGTCTTTTGGTAGATTTCTCTGCTTTTCCGCAAAGATTTATAGATCTACTTCTACAGTGCATTCAGGAACAAAACAAAGATACCCCAAGGTAAATAATATTTGGTACCACATTATTAACTTTGTGTAAAAAAAATTTCTTAAACAAAACACACACTCGCTATGCCAAATACTCAAAAAGAAAGATAAGACTAAGGAAAGTCAATGGGACTTAAGCTTCAAGTGCCTAAGTCACTTTTGAAAATGAGAATTTTTACTTCAATGCCTTTGAAAATGTTACCACTTATCCAGTGTGTTTATCTTTACAAAGTTCTCCTAAAGTGCATGCACCTGAATGGTGGGGTAACGTGCAATATCAAATGTAACACGAGTTACTTACTTTTATAAAAACTCAGAAAAAGCAAAAACTACATATCCTTTGGCTTTTTTATTTACTATGCCTACAGGAATTTTTTTTGGTGCTAGCATTATATGATATTTGTCAAGATGCTGTTGCCTTATTGGATTCCTTTATATTTTCATAATATTAATTTGGGAAGGATTTATAGCCTGATCCTGCAACTGCATCCAAACAGGTGGTTGCTTCTGGACCATAGCTCCAGTTGTGTGTTAACTGCCTTAATGATTTATTTTATAAAGTGAAAAAAAGTCTGGAATCTATATATGCTTTTGTAACCATAGGTGTTATGTATTAAATCTGGTTCTTCATTTGTTTTTAAGGTTTTTGCTCCAATTAGTTTCTTCAGCATCTGTTTTAGATCACACACCTGCTTTTTTAAATGTAGTGGAGACAAACCCATTTAAACATCTTACACATCTCTCGCTAAAATTCCTGCCAGGAAATGATGCAGAAATAAAGAAGTTTTTAGCAATCTGTTTGAAATGTATTAAGGTAAGATTGTAGATTTGCAGTATCCGTAATTAGGCCCTTATCCTCCAAATACTTAAACTTGGGTTTTATTTTAATTTTTTTTATATTAGTTCATGTTGTGGCTTTGAACATAGTTATATAGGTACATATTGTAATTCAATACACTTGCTTTCTCTAAGGATAAAAATATCACTGGCACACATCTATTTAAAATAGCACTGTCAAATTATTGGAAAATGAAGTTGATGTATTTGGTAGCATACCAGATTTAAATAATGCTATGATATGAACAGCGATTTCAGAGTTTGAAAACTCGTCAACCTACAGTTTACATCTTACTAATTTCTTCACACATAGTTTTTGTCTTATCTTAGTGCAATGTAAATGTAAACTGCCCCTGTAATATAAATTATTTGTAAAAGAAAAAAAATTCCCCTTAATTTCTAGGTCAGGGTTCTCAAACTTTTTTTCTGCGATGCCCTTTGGAAATATTTCAAGCTGTGATGCTTCCCCCACTTCCCCCAAGTGATGATCCTACCATGCCACCGGCACTGTTGCTTGGGACAGTACAGCCTTCAGAGCTGCGTTCCTGGCCAGCAGCTACTGCTCTCTGGCCATCCTGCTTTCAAGTTCTCAAACTGTCAGCCCTGCGGATGGCTGGCAGCTGGAGCACCTGCATGCATGGGAGCTTGCAGATTATGACCCTTCCACAATCATCTTGTAACTCCCAATATGAGAACCCGTTATCTAGGTGTTAACAAAACTCCTTTTAAAATAATAAAGTGCAAAGATCCTAATTTCTTGGGGAATTTTTTTGAAAAACAAACTTGATTCAGAATTGTCCGCATTTGTATGGAATTCTTTTTACAGGTGAAAAATAGCTTTTACTTTAGGATTCATGAAATAGTCTAAATACTGAATTATACATATCTTGATAAGACTTTATTAGATTAATGGACATGTTTTTTGAACTTTACATATAGAAATAATGGGATATGGATGCTAATGTTTCTAAATTGAAAAATAAGATTGTATTGATTTAAAATGTCAATTATATATAGGAAGAAAAGTCATTACTGGAACAAAAGCTTAAAAAAACTGAAGATGACCTTACCAGACAACTGAGTTGCACACAGCAGGTAGTTGATGATGTTATGCCTTCCTACCTTTTGTATAATAAGTGTTCAGTCTTCTGAATTTTTTGAATAGCACACTGCATGTAAAGGTATATTGCAAATCAGAGTTACAGTAGAATCCGGTTTGCAGAACTCTTGGAAAGATAACATCGTTTCTTGTTTTCGATCTAATCTTATATCTGTGCATTTATTTTTAATTTTGTTGCTTATGGAGCATGTACTGCTGGTGGCCAATAGAGGTCTGGCTGGTTACATGGTTCTGAGAAACAACCAATTTTGGCAGTGCAGAGGGAGATGGATTGAAGTTAAAAAAATAGCCAGTGTGATGAACTATTCAGAAGACAGGTCAAAGCACACCGAAGACAACTAAAAACACTTTACTTTTCCCTGTAAGAAACTACCACAAGAATATTATGTGGTCAGAAATAAGATAATAGATAGTTTACAAGATTGTCTCCACATGAGAATGTGTGCCACACAATGAAGACATTTCAGAACCCTTAACTTTGTGTTGTGTATGAATCAAAGAAAAGTAGGATTACAATTGTAGACATTTGTTCTAATATTTCATTTACGATGGATGATGGGCCATGTTGTGGTTTCACCTGTTTTTTAAAGAGGATGATTGCTGTGAGTCATACTGTAAAACTATACAGACTGCACTTTGTGTGCTCTTGAGTTAAACTCAAATCCTTAATGTTCTTCCTCCTCCCCCTGGCCCCTCCAACTTCTGTGGGCTTGTCAGACAGATTACATTTTAAAAATACATTATCTAATTTGTTTTGTATAATTTTAATAGAATTGGAATGGCTGTACTCTCCTGCCATTGCAAATTTAAAAGAAAAATGCTGTCAATAAATACATTTTTCCTACTGAAAAGGTAGTATTTACTGGGCTATGACATAGCTATTGAATGTGTTCACTCTTATTTGATAGGACAGAGTAGGCAGTCCCCGACTTACGCGGATCCGACTTATGTCGGACCTGCAGTTACGAACAGGGCTGCCCCAGAGTACACGGACTGCGGGACCTCGCGGTCCTGCCGCCTGTGTACTCTGGGGCTTTCTCTGCGTCTCCCTGGTCTGCAGACCAGGAAGACGCAGAGCAAAGCCGCGGAGGGGCTCGGGCAGCCCAGGGGCAGCTTTGCAAAGCCGTGGGGGGGCT